ACACTAGGATAACAGACACTAAGATAACAGACACTAGGATAACAGACACCAGGATAACAGACACTAGGATAACAGACACCAGGATAACAGACACCAGGATAACAGACACTAAGATAACAGACACCAGGATAACAGACACTAGGATAACAGACACTAGGATAACAGACACCACGATAACAGACACTAGGATAACAGACACTAGGATCACAGACACCAGGATAACAGACACTAGGATCACAGACACCAGGATAACAGACACTAAGATAACAGACACTAAGATAACAGACACTAGGATAACAGACACCACGATAACAGACACTAGGATAACAGACACTAAGATAACAGACACTAAGATAACAGACACTAGGATAACAGACACCACGATAACAGACACTAGGATAACAGACACTAGGATAACAGACACTAGGATAACAGACACCACGATAACAGACACTAGGATAACAGACACCACGATAACAGACACTAGGATAACAGACACTAGGATAACAGACACTAGGATAACAGACACTAGGATAACAGACACTAGGATAACAGACACTAGGATAACAGACACTAGGATAACAGACACTAGGATAACAGACACTAGGATAACAGACACTAGGATAACAGACACCAGGATAACAGACACTAAGATAACAGACACTAGGATAACACAAAAACCAATAGATGGTAAAATTAGAACAAAAATTGAAAAGGCAGCAAAAAATAGGGCAACATGTGGTGACCTGTATGTGTGTGTGTGTGAGTGAGTGAGTGAGTGAGTGAGTGAGTGAGTGAGTGAGTGAGTGAGTGAGTGAGTGAGTGAGTGAGTGAGTGAGTGAGTGCGTCACCACATGTGTGTGTGTGTTGGTGTGTGTGTACTCAGCAGAGTATTTGAGCTAATGAAAACCTAGATCAATAAAACACAGTGGTTGGCACAGATCAGTCTTCACTGCTATAAGACAGACACTGTTCATTCTCCACCTCTGGCTCTGGACCAAACACACACTTTGGTCTGAACTAAAATCTCTGATTTTCTCCATGGACTTTGGTCTGAACTAAAATCTCTGATTTTCTCCATGGACTTTGGTCTGAACTAAAATCTCTGATTTTCTCCATGGACTTTGGTCTGAACTAAAATCTCTGATTTTCTCCATGGACTTTGGTCTGAACTAAAATCTCTGATTTTCTCCATGGACTTTGGTCTGAACTAAAATCTCTGATTTTCTCCATGGACTTTGGTCTCATCAGAAAGAGAAGAAGAAAGAAGGTCCATACCTGACGGTGAAGTCGTAGGAACAGGAGGCCAACACTGAGGGTCTGAAAGGAGAAAACTGCAAAGGAGGGAGGAGTGGGGGTCTGAGGATCTGAACATTCTTACAGTTGCATAAATTCAACCACTCAGTTCTAACAAGTTCTTTTGTAACTTTACTGTTCAAAATCCTCTGTTCAGATTCACCTCAGTGACACTGTCTGACCACAGGAGGCAGCAGAGGACCAGCAGCTCCTGTGTCTCTGTGAGTTAAAATCACTGATTTTCTCTATGAGGTTTGGTGAGGTTTATAAAATGAATTTTCCTGTTGGTCGAGTGAGTGACCATGTGACAGTGTCACACGTGTCATGTTTATTTTAATGATGTGTGTGTGTGTGTGTGTGTGTGTGTCATTAGAACCATTGGTGTGGGTGTTTTGATGATGTCACTCCAGCTCAAGTTGAAAACATCATGTTGTCATATGAAAGTAAACTCTCTGTGTGTGTGTGTGTGTGTGTGTGTACCTTGAGTCTGCGGATGGCGTAGGTGTGACCTCTCAGTTGATTGACAGGCTGTCGTACATTCCTTAGGTCCCACACACACACACTACAATCGACGGAACCTGTGGCTACGACGTTCTGTTTAACAAAGTTTAACAAATAAAAACGTTTATATCAAAGACAAAAAAACAGGTTTGGATTTCAACATCATTTTGTTTTAGTAGTAAAACAAAAAAAGAAGACAGCAGACGGTCACCTGGTCATATTTGCACCAATCACAGCTCAGGATCTCGGCCTGATGAGCTGCGATAGCCAATCGGCAGGCCCCAGCCTTCAGGTCCCAAACTCTGAGGGTCCCGTCGCCTGCAGGAAGACAAACCCGTCACTCATAAATGTAAAATTCCCATATAGTCCCATAAAAATATAAATGTCCCATATTTGGGACATTTTTGCGTTAGCAGCAGAGATGCTGTGATCAGGCTGCCCCCTGCAGGCTACATGCATGTGGTTCCTCTGGGAATCGGAGCCAGGACTCCCTGGCTGAACTGAAGAACTGAAGAAGCCTCGTGGATGAACAGAGTGAACAAAAAAAAACCAACAGAAAAAAAACAGCCTACTTGGTCCAGTTGCCTTTGATGGAACTATTTTTGTTTTTTTAAAAACAGTCTCAGCTCAGTCATGACCCCTGGTGGACACGGGAGGCGTTCAAGGATTCTCATCGCCTGGTTGGGAATCGATCCTCACATCAACAATTCAACGTTTCTGTTCCTTCCATTTTCAACACAGCTCAGCAACTATGTGTGTGTGTGTGTGATGGTGTGTGTGTGTGTGTGAGAGAGAGAGAGAGAGAGAGAGACATTATCTGTTCATTCTGCAGTGCATTAAAGGCTGACTTTTGTAAAAGCTCTCAGTCTGTCACACCTGGTGTCACTGCTGTATCAGCAGGTTGTACACACACACACAGACACACACACAGACACACACACACACCTGCCTAGGTGTCCTCACAGACTCTACTGCCTCCTGTGGTCAGCCTGTGAATCTAAACAGATGAACAGACAGAGAAAATCACTGGTTTTCTCTGTGAGGTTTGGTGCAGGGGGGGGGGTTACCAACTTTCTTGGTTCAACTGCTGTAGATTTTCGGAGCCCGGTCATTTGTCGAGAAGCTCACGCTGTCATTGGTCAGAGCAGATCAATACCAGCCAATCAGTGAAGTGTTTCAATGTTCATGTTTTTTAAACCGTGGACAAACAAAACTGAGATTTTTACTTCTTCACTCTTCACAGACACACTGATAATGCCCCCCCCCCCCCCCCCCCGGTGGGGGGGGGGGGGGTGGGGGGATGCAGAGACAAGGAGCTGGATCTGATGGAAGAACCACTGAACAC